AAAAAAACAAGGCAATCATTGGAGTCCACAGAACCCCAATATATTTGTAACCCGGGGTAAAAAATATCACGGAGCCCACATCTCTTATGCGGAGTCCCTCTGGACTTTAGCAAATCCCCTGCGGCCAATTTTTGGTGCATGTGCCAATGATTTAACAAGGGAGCGTGACCACATAGTGGTCGCGCCGCAAGGAACGTGTCAACAATATCGTACTGGTTTTGGGACCTCCTATATATGGCTGTGGCTTACTCGCACTTTCGTAGTCATACCACTGTACCGCCAAGCACGCGAGCGAACGAGTTGCCTACTCGCACGGGGCTAAAAGGAGCCGTGGGCAGCGAAGATAGGCAAACCCACCCGCACCGGTGCATGCGGTACAATATAACTACGAAAGCGCGCGGCGTGAGTCAGCCACCTTTAATTTGTAGCACCTCCCCTAAAAGTCACATAGTTGTGGGAAAGACCCCGTTTTGGACTATGTGATCTCTGATGGACCCCCCGCGCCACATGTATTTAGCGAGGCGGGGCCGGGGGCCGTCTGCTAAGTATGAAAAATTGTCCCGCGCGTTTTCCGCCCCAGTTGAACCAAACCACCAAACCAATCAGAAGCGAGCAAGTCACGTGACCCTTGCGACTCTTTCACCCGCACCTATACTCGCACCGCTCTGCAGGTGCAGGCGTGTCATTGGGCGCTGGCTTCCGAAGATGACCTTTCCGTACTATCTGGCCGTCGTCAGCCTGCCCAACGTGTACGAGCACCCGACCGAGCAGGACATCAGAAACACGCGGGCGCCCAATGGCAAGCCGGTAAGTCTGCGGAGATACTCTTTAGTTTGTCCCGGCTCGACCGCACTGCTAGTTTGGACAGTTTGGATTCCTGTCGGGGACACGCTCATCGTGACGTCAGTAAACTATTTATTTTATGCCGTAGGATGAACTTGCCAACCTTTGCAACTTCGTCGTCATCGTGGTAGAGGAGACAGCCCACGTCGTCCCCCTCGCCATCCACAACATCTCCATCTGGTCGCCACTGACGAGGTTTGTAAAGGGATTTTAATTTTCCAGAAAACCATTTTTGGGCAGTTTGTTTAAATTTTTGACCTCTATTTTCTTTTTCTAAAAAGTTTTATTTTTTCCAATTTTCCTGGAAATATTTCAATTTTTTCCAGTTTTTCTTTTTAAAAATTTTGTAAGGGTTGTGGCGTTGCTGTGGTTGGTCGGTTGTGTGCGTAACTCACTCGGGGCTCAACGTCCGTGCATTCACGCCAGCCAGGTCATCTTGGTCCTGGACTCCGCCCCGTGGCTGCTGCCTGGAATGACGCGAGAGGGCCCCGCCTTTTCTCCCGACAACATCCTGGAGAACTCGGGTAGGGTAAGGCAGTCGTCGTGGCGAAACTGGAGGAGAGTCGCCAGATAGTAGGCAACCCATCTGACCCCGTGGCGAATGGTTTGCCTACGCACTGGGCGGCTGCGAGCGGTATGACCCCGGCCGACCCGACGCCGACGTCTCGCAGGTGACAACCGGGAGTCCATGATCCAGACGCTGGACAACATGTGGGCCCTGCGGCGCGCCCAGCGCATGGTCGTGTACCAGACCACGCGGCCGGCGCGCTTCATGGCCCTGGACGTGCTCCACAGGCGCACGCTCAGCATCTGCGCGGACGACAGCGAGCGCATCTGGCAGGTGCTCTCCAGGAACCTGACGGTGAGGGTCTGTTGCTGCACGCTGCCGTGCGGTGTCCTCCGTCCGATCCTGGCGCCGCTTCTTAGTCACCTCTCGCCCTCCTCCGCCAGAACCTCAACGGCCTCCCCGTCCGGCTGACCCTGTTCCCCCGGCGTCCGACCGCGGTCCTGCTCAAGAACGACTCGCGCGCCGCGTCGCACCAACACCCACTGGAGAGGGTCATCGGCTACCTCGGCATGGACGCGAGGATCCTGGAGATGTTCGCCTTGCGCCTCAACTTCAGCCCCGTGGTTCTCGGGACCACCGATGGCAAGACGTTCGGATACAACGTCAACGGGAATTATACGGGCACGCTCAAGGACCTGGTAAGCAAGCGTGAGGAGCAAGGGGAGAGGAGCAAGGGGAGCGAGCGTGAGGAGCAAGGGGAGCAAGCGTGAGGAGAAAGGGGAGAGAGCGTGAAAGCAAGCGCAAGGCCCTCACCAGTCCTATGGTTTCCGTGATATAGGCAGGGCCGAGGAAATGGTCGAATGAAATATATGTCTCGAAATTGACACTGACAAGGGGTAAGAGACACGGCACACTAGATGGTGAGGGACAAGTTTTGTTAGTAGGCTAGATGTGTCTTTGTGCACATCTAAACAACGCGCAAATTTGTATTTACGTTACATAAAACATTTGGCATTTGTACCTAGCCTACGAATTTGTACCTCCGTACAGACAAATTTGTATCTCACGATGACGTGCTCAAAGACACATCCAACCTAGGTACAAATATTGCCCCTTCCCATTTAGAATGGAAATTTCATAAATTTATGCTGGCACGTTTACTCCGCACGCATGATTCTCCCTTTGGTGCAGATGACTGGCCACTCCGATATCGCCTTCAACCAGCACTTCATCTTGGACTACAACTCGCAGGACGTGCTGCCCTCGGCCCCCGTCGACTACGACGCCCTGTGCGTGGTGATCCCCTCTGGCGAGACCCACACCAAGTGGGCGCAGATGCTGCAAGTGTTCAGCTTACATGCCGTGCTTAGCTTCTTCCTCTTGGCCACCGTGCTGGTGGTCTTCTTCTACTTCATCAGCGAGCACGCGCCCCGCCGCCCGACCTTGAACGACTCCATCTTCTACATGTACGCCATGCTCTGCGGCGCACCCGTCGTGCCCCAACCCAAGGTGTGCTCGCAGCGGGTGCTCATCGGCTGCTGCGCGCTGTTCGGCGTGCTCGCCACCAACTCATTCCAGGTGCTATTCAGAGGTCGGTCAGGCGGCCCGAAAGCTTCAGGTGTGAGTGAGAGGTGAGAGGCTCGATCTGGGCCTAGCTCCCTCCCTCCCACTTGCACTCGTCTCGTCCGGACGCGCTCGCGGTTGTCTCGTGCACCCGATTGATCTTCTCGCTCGTGCTCTTGTCTCCTACGCCCGCCTGCACCATCGTCATGACGTTGTTCGCTTGACGTGCCCCAGAGCCAGATGGCCACGACGCTGTCGAGGGGCCGCACGCCGTTGCAGATCAGGACGCTCCAGCAGCTGGACGAGTCCGGGCTTCTCATCTTCACGGGCTCCGACTCGCTGCGCACCACCACCTTCGAGGGCGACAACCCCCTCCTGCAGAGACTCCTCACCAAGGTCATCACGCCGCAGAACACGAGCGAGTTCTTTCGGGTAACGGACCCTTCCTAAACTACGTGGTGCTGATCGTTTTTGGGGCCCCACAATAATAGGGTATTTCAGAGCTGGAGGTGAAGAAGTAAAATGGAAGAACAAAACGCGCACTGCGCATGAGCAGACGCCCCCCACCCCATCCCCTGCTT